TAAAAATCAGTCTAATGCTTTAAAGCATACGATAAGAATTAGATAAATGCTTAGAAGCATGTTGTGTAACCTTTTTCTCTTTAATGTTGCATTGATAATATGTAAATTCACATTGATCAAATTTTTTGCATCGACACACTGATCAATTTTGCATTGATAACAAACAACATGTGCTATAGGGGTTCAGGCAAATTTTTTCCCTTTGTTTGTTTCATATTATTTTGGTCCCACCTTTAAGGATACAATGTGAAATTCAAAATATAATCTCCATGATGTTGGTAGTTAATTCTACCATGATTATACCCATAACCACATCCATGACCGCGAATAAGGCAGTATTCGCTTAAGGGATCGTTTTTTATCCGGTTGGACTGAAAATTTCTCAATAATAGCTATTTATTTTGTTCTGCCATAAACAGACATGATATCAGCTTTAAATATTTCATAAATCTACACACTTAGCGTGATTAGTGGAGTATCACTTGTTCAACATATATACTCTTTACATAAGAAATCTCATCAATCTACGCTCTCGGCGTGAAAAGTGGAATATCATTTAATCAATATATGTCTTTCAATAATATTTTCCTCCATATCAAATATTTCATAAATCTACGCACTCGGCATGATAAGTGAATGATGTTCCTTTCAATATGTACTCATGAGTAATTATTTCTCCACATTATATCAATATAGCTAATTACAAACAAAGCCGAATTATATTCGCTAATAATTTCATTATCTTGCAACCGCAGCTGCATTTCTTGCATACTGAACTTTTGAGATGGTCACAATACTTTAAATGATCATATCTTTCTTTCAATTTTTTCCACAAACTCAGTGGATTTCTTTCTGTGAAGTATTTAGTTTTTAGCTCATTGCCAATATGGCGACGAAGGAAAATCATGGTATTCGCTTTATCATGTAATGATGCATCATTTCCTTCTTTAATTGTGTTTCCAAGACTCAGTATAATTAAACAACAAAGGTAGTAAAACCAGCCAATTAAATTATTAAATAATAAAAGCGCTAAAATTGGCCATAAATCATTAAATAATAAAGGCGGTAAAAATGACCATAGTTAATAGATAATAAAGGCAGTAAAATGGACCATAGTTAATAGATAATAAAGATTGTAGAACCGACCGTAGTTAGTAGAGCATTAAATAATAAAGGAGATAGAACCGACCATAGTTATTAGATCATTAAATAATAAAAGTAGTAGAACCGACCATAGTGTGAGCACATATATCACTGAAGTGGACAAATTAATTTCATGAATAATAATCAATAATTAAGATTTTCTAACCCTTTGGAGTTAGAAATAAAATTTTCTTCAGTAAAGCAAACAAACCCAACAATCTATCAAAACTAATATCACAAAAAAATATATAGTTGAGATATAAAGAGGGAGAGAAAGCGTTTTGTTCAAGTCTCAAATGGCTAGAGCTCGTGTTGATAACGTCTTATAAATATATATGTATATATAGAGTAATATTAAGAGAGAGATATATGAGAGAGTAAAGAACTTTCATTGATATATTTTTCTCAAGTATATAACCCATAGCAATAGTTATACGAATATTTATAGGCACAAACAAAAGCTTTCAATGTAAGCTCAAAGTGCAGCCTTTCTCCTCACACCAAAGTATATAGCTTACTTTTGAAGTTATCATAAGTGGATCCCACTTCTATAACAAATTTGACATTAGTCCGTTTTACAAATAATATATGAAAAAAAATGGGTAAAACACAATCAAGTAAATAAACACAAAAAGTTCACATGGTTTAACTTATAACCTACTTTAATAATGATATGAAAAAGAAAGGAAAATTATAAATCTCTCGACTCTTAGCACCATTACATCCTTTGTCTCACTCTGTTTCAGAGTTTTAATCGAATAATGGAATGAAATGCAAGTGGGAATGAAATAAGAATCGGAATGGAATGGAATGATCATTCTTATTCTATTATTTGGTTGTAAATATGAAATATATAGGAATAGAATAATAATAATCATTCTAGTGTTTGGTTGGACCAATTTTAAATTTAGAATGGAATAAATTTTAAATTAAGTTTTCTAAAATATCCCTATTAGTAAAAAATAAATTAAATTAACAAAATGACATTCTTTTATAATTTTTAAAAAATAAATCGTGGTAATGGCGATGGTAGAGGTGGAAAACGGTAGTGGTGCATGCAGGTGGTAGTGTTGGAAGGCGGCGGCGGTGGCAATAGTGGAAAGCGGTAGTGTTGGAAAGGTAGCAGTGGTAGAAGGCGGTGGCAAGAATGTTGGTGGTAGTAGAAGGAGATACTGTTGTAGGTGGTGGTGGTGGAAGCCAATGGAGGTAACTGTGGTGGTGGTGGTGGTGGAAGGAAGTGGTGGTAGCAGTGGTGGAAGGCGGTAGCGGTGGAGGTGATAGAAGGTGGTGGAGGCGATGGCGGTGGTGGTGGTGGAAGGCGGTGGCGGTGGCGGTGGCGGTGGCGGTGGCGGTGGCGGTGGTAGTGGTGAAAGGTGGTGGTGGTGGTGGTGGTGGTAAAAGGTGGTGGCGGAAGGCAATGGTAGTGGAAGATGGTGGTGGTGTAAGACGGTGGCGGTGGTGAAAGGCGGTGGCGACAGTGGTGGTGGAAGGCGGTGGTGGTGGTGAAAGGCGGTGACTGTGATGGTAGTGAATGCGGTTGCGATGGTGGTAGTAGAAGGTTGTGGAAGGCGATAGCAGCGGTAGTGGCAGCGACAGTAGTGGAAGGTGGTGGTGGTGGGGAAAGGTGGTGGCGGAAGGCGGTGGCTATGGTGAAAGGCGGTGGCGGCAGTGGTGGTGGTGGTGAAAGGTTCTAAAAGGTGATGGTGGTAGTGGTGGTGGAAGGTGGCAGCAGTAGCGGTGGTGAAAATCGGTGGCAGTAGTGGTGTTGGTGGTGAAAGGTGGAGGTGGTTGTGGTGGAAGATGGTAGTGATTTTTGAACTTAGAACATGACGGTTTTTTGGGAAGTTGATTTTTTTAAAAAAAAAAATTACTTGGGAATGGAATGGCCATTCCATAGGTTTAGTTGTGGAATGAATTTTCATTCCAATGGAATAGTGATTTCCACTTTAAATTGTATACCAAACAAAAAAATGATTGGAATAGATATTCCATTTTATTATATTTCTGCACACCAAATCCAGCATTGTATACATAATTACAATAAAGATTAAAATCTGAGTTCAAAATCTGTAAGCCAAAAAAAAATAATAATCAAAAAGTTTTTCCTTGGAATCGAAGCCACAATTAAACAAATAAGATTGTACCTAGCTTAATTTTCTCAATTAAAAGAAATTTTCTTGTCTTCTCTGTAAGGGATAGAATTACTATCAATATCAATGATAGTATTGGCTGGTGGTGTGTTTTACATCCCTATCAAAAATTAACCAGTCTTCCCAACCATTGTACTAACGTCAAGGTATTAACTATATAACGCATGGTGGCTCAATTAATTAAAGTTTCATATCAATGAAAAACTCCAAATCCCCAATCAGTAAGTCCATTGATGTGATTAGTCCTTATACCAAAAAACCTATTGATGTGATTAGCGGAAAACTAAGTATTTATCTCATCCTGGCATAAGAATCCAACCTTGTTATATGTTCCAAGTTGATTGACATTAATAGAAAGGAAAGCTATGTCCTTATCTCTCACTTAAGGCTCCAAAAAAAATTGTTACATTTGAGATATCATTAAGGTTGCATATATGGGCATTTTTGGAAATCCAAGGTCTTAGAAAAAAAGTGTAAATTACACTTATATTTCTTAAGATTTGAACAAATTTACACACGAGCAGATCGTTCAACGTTTATTACTTTGATTTCTCCTAAGATTCGGCATGTGTTCAACGACGCTCTTAGCGTTTTCTTTTCGACAGACCTGTTGGCTAAATTTTATAAAATGACAAATTTATCCTTCCATTATATGTAATGCAATATAATATAGTATTATAATATAAAGACATTATTGACTTTTCACATTAAAGTCACTAACGGTCTACTGGTACATAATTTGTCCAAACCTCAAGCTATTCGTACATAATTTGTCCAAACCTCATACGAGAGCGGAGTTATTTGGAAATTACAGTCCATAGGTTCAGACAAGTATAGAGGGACAGTCTAGGCTTCAAACTTGCAGTTAGAGTTGAACTAAGTGTCTTTCTCTACTCACGTGGCAGCCAAAAGACTGTTCTCATGTGGTTGTTTGGAATTCCATATATGCAGAGCTTGTTGATTGACATGTGAACCGCTGAGTCTGTGATTGCTTTTCTTCCACCTCCAATGTGGTGGTTTGCATGTGGCCCTTCACATATGTCCATCATTCTCATTAGTTATGTCTTCTTTTTCCCTCCCTAGCTTTCATACTACCGGCAATTTCGGTACCCAAATCATTAAATAACTGAATTTGCATAACGATATGGTTGCTTTATTATAATTTTAAAGTTCAGTATATGAATATCGAAACAGGTCACATTTTTAAAATCGAAAGCAACCTCTTCAAATGGAGATAAAATTAAGTGTATCATATTTTTGAGATTATGCAATGTAAGAATTTCGTATTCTAAACTAGCCCTTTTTATTTTATATTATTTTTATTTTTATCTCCCAATTTAACTATCAACACCCTCCCCTGTGTGTGTGTGTGTAACTGCACACATATAATAATATACTATAGACATACAAACAAACATTCATTGCTAAATTCCTGATGAGTCGGTTGTTGAATTATAATATATTAACTTTTAGTGGAAGGGGAGGCTCTGAGATCTTGAATATCTGTTCTGGGTCAAGCTGTTTTTCATAGTAGAAAGTAACAAAAAAAATTGCAATTTAATCCCTTCTTAGATGTGCTTTAATTTATCACTTGGGGTTAGAAACTAGGGTCCACATGACCCTCTGGGGTGTGCAATATTTTGGCCTATTTGGTCTCTCTCTTTCTACACATATGGCTATATATATATATAATATGTATATATAAATATACACACATGCATTGCTTCTGAGTAGCTTAAGCTAGAACAAGCCCATACCATTTACAGCTCCCTCTGAAGTGGCTTCTTGGGAGCATCAATGGCTATTTTTATGGTGGTTTTTGGGGTGGTTCTAGGGCTTTTTGTCTGCACTGCTCTGTTGAGATGGAATGAGGTGAGGTACAAGAAGAAAGGTTTGCCTCCTGGTACTATGGGTTGGCCAGTTTTTGGGGAAACTACAGATTTTCTTAAACAAGGCCCAAGTTTCATGAAGAACCAAAGAGCAAGGTATATATATTCTCACAACTTTTTTCAATTTTTAGAAAATTTTTGTGGAACAAATATTATTGAATATATATATATATATATGTATATGCAATTTGGTCTATATTAGAAGCTTTTGCTGTGATTGGTGTTTTTGTCTAGTAATTAAGTTTTTAATAGATTTTTTTTGAAGTGTCATTTGTGTTGGTGTGTGTTTCCTAGTTTCAAGTGCTAGTACTTTGTGGTTTAAATTGCTTTTGTCATTTCAATGCTGTGGTCTAGTTTGTAAATAGCCAGCAATGTTGGGTCCATAGGTTGTACGTCAGTTATGGCTGAACCATGTTATATCTTGTGTTTGTGTCCGAGAAACAAGCAACATGTTATATATGATTAAAAAATTGATAGAAGAACTTGTAACATATATCCATTAAAATCAACAATATAGATTATCATTAATCATTCTCGTAATTTGCTCTATAAATTTTTTAAATTTTTAATATTTTTTTAAAATTTCTAACAGATATGGAAGTGTTTTCAAGTCCCACATACTGGGCTGCCCTACCATTGTTTCAATGGATCCAGAGCTAAACAGATATATCCTAATGAATGAAGCAAAAGGGCTTGTTCCTGGCTACCCACAGTCCATGCTAGACATCTTAGGAAAATGCAATATTGCAGCTGTTCATGGCTCCACTCACAAGTACATGAGAGGGGCATTGCTAGCCCTCATTAGCCCCTCCATGATCAGAGAACAACTCTTGCCGAAAATCGACGAATTCATGAGATCTCACCTCAGCAATTGGGATAACAAAATCATTGACATTCAAGAAAAAACCAAAGAGGTTCGTATTAAATCATAACCCGAAAGAACATAATGTCTGTTAAGTTCAGTTTTCTAAAAACAGTTCTCCATAACTAAGAAAACGGTCAAAAACTGTCATGTTTAATCAGTTTTATTCTTCCTCTGTTTCAGATGGCACTATTGTCCTCTCTTAAGCAAATTGCCGGTATCGAATCCAGTACAATATCTCAGGATTTCATGCCCGAATTTTTAAAGCTGGTATTAGGAACTCTTTCACTGCCTATTGATCTTCCTGGCACGAATTACCGTTGCGGTTTTCAGGTAAATTACCTATAATTTATTTTCTTATCTCTATTATTTAGTTAGTAGAAGAATTTTGGTGTATGTATAAATGGGATGTGGTATATATTACAGGCAAGGAAGAATGTTGTGAACATGTTTAGACAACTGATAGAGGAGAGAAGAGCTTCCAAAGAAACACAACATGACATACTTGGTTTACTAATGAGAAATTATGAAGAAAATAAATACAAGCTTAGTGATGAAGAGATAATTGATCTAATAATCACACTTTTGTATTCTGGTTATGAGACTGTTTCGACTACTTCGATGATGGCTGTCAAATATCTCCATGATCATCCCAGAGTTCTTGAAGAACTCAGAGTAAGTTAATTCGAAAATTACTTTCAAAATGATTTTTACATTCGGATTTTAGAGTATTTTGTTGACATTTTTATGATTCGATTGTAAATTTTATAGAAAGAACATTTGGCTATTAGAGAAAGGAAAAGGACAGAGGATCCAATTAACTGGAATGATTTCAAGTCTATGCGCTTTACTCGTGCTGTAAGTATTTTGAAATCTGATTTTTTCATGTAAAATTTCTTTTTCTTTTTTTTTTTCTTTTTTTTTTTTCTTTTTTCTGTTTTTAATGGTTCGGAGATTAAATTTACTATGATGTTTATGATGCAGGTGATCTTTGAGACTTCAAGATTAGCTACCATTGTTAATGGAGTTCTCAGAAAAACTACCCGAGACATGGAACTAAATGGTGAGTCCAAGATAATCCATAACAACACCACATTTTATTTCTTGCTTTCAAGCATTTAGGGGCTCGAGGAGCTTATGATCTGAGTTTTTATGGTTGGAATGGAGAAATTTTTGGATGGTCGTAGAACATGTGATCCATCAAGTACAATCAAAGCTCTATAACTAGTGAAATATCTTTATGATACTATGATGTGATTTTTTATGGTTGTTATGAAAAAATTATTAGATGGCTCTAAACGTCCAATCAAAACTTTCCCAATTAAGAAAAGCAGACTCATAAAAGTTTAATAAGATATTACGAAAAAAAAAAAAAAAAAAAAACTTTGAATATTAGTTTTAATTAGACTAGATTGGACCACTAGTGATTTATTGGTCTACAACCATCAAATAATTTTTCGAAATGACAAGTGGGACATTATTTATGCATTATTAGCTTTGCCGTATGCTTTTTCAATAATGTGATTTAACCTTATGATGTTTCTCCATTTGTATATTTCTGTACTTCAATCACATCATTTCCTATGTTTTTTTTTTACAGGATTTGTTATCCCTGAAGGATGGAGAATATATGTATATACAAGAGAGATAAATTACGACCCGTGTCTATATCCTGACCCGTTTACCTTCAACCCGTGGAGATGGATGGTCCGTGATACCGAATTTTTTACTTTAACTTAATTATTTGCTTAATTACAATGATGGTACTATATTGGTACTGAAATTTGATTTCAAGTGACTGATTGTGGCCATGATTGTGAAATGTAGGATAAGAGCTTGGAGACACAAAACAATTTTTTCATATTCGGAGGTGGCACGAGGCAGTGTCCCGGAAAGGAACTGGGAATAGCAGAAATTTCTACATTCCTTCATTACTTTGTAACTAGATACAGGTAACTTGTTTAGTTATGAATGTTTTGTTTGGTTGATGAGAAAATAAGAAACAATTCCGATAGGAAATAGAAAATATGATTTTCTTTTTAATGCAGATGGGAAGAAGTTGGTGGAGACAAGCTGATGAAATTTCCCAGAGTTGAAGCACCAAATGGGCTGCACATTAGAGTGTCATCTACTGACTAATTTATGTACAGAAGATATATAGCATATCAAAGAAATATGGATGTACAATATTGTTTTAGCAGATTAGGAATTGAGTGAATTTCATAATTTTCATTTCAGCAAACTACCTGATTATCAATTTAAGTTTCAAACAGATATACTCCATACCCCCAAAAAAGAAAAGAAAAAAGAGAGGTTGTTAAATCAAAACCTAAGTCACACAATCCTTTTAAACGGGTGCCCCTCTCACACTCCGAGTACGTTTCTACTCTCACGTTTCACATGTATTCTCACTCCCATTCCCACTCTATGTCTTAAATTTTGTTACTTTTATGCTCTCATTCTCGAATTTGCTCTTGCTCGTACTTTATGTGATTTAAAATCAAACATTGCTTACAACTTTCTCTTTAAAGTAAGGTATTTACTTATTGGGCTTACTTCATCTCAGACTCAGCCCACAAACTTAGGGCTTTAGCAAGGTAAGCTAAGCATGGGCCGGGACATCATAAATGTGGACCGAGAGGCTTCTCTGCTGCACAAAGCCTTTTCTTAGGTAGAATAGACATGAGGTGGGCTTGATATACATCTAAGGTTCATATATTACAACATTAGTATATTTTACCTTGGAAAAAAAAAAAAACACATGGACATAAGAGAAAATATGAAATTTTGGTTTTTTATTTTTTTCATCAGTCACTAATTGAATTAAGTGTAATAAGTTCAATTTATAGGCACTTATAACAAGGATAAATCAAATGATGAACTTCACAAATAGGGTTTAATTGGATATAGTCCGAGCACTCAACCATTAGTATCTATCTTTTTACTCCCACTTTTTGGGCTGGAATTTATTAGTTTCAGACTTAAAAGTCATTATTGAGAGCACAATATTGATGTAACGATAATGTTGCTCCGTTATAAAATAGAGTTCGCGATTGGAATAAAATAAAAAACATTCCCTCCAAACTCTTCAATAATGGTAAATGGTAGGCTTGTGGACTAAATTAGTCCTTCATTATAAGTTTGTGAAAATAACATTCTTATAATCCTTGTGAAAATCATGTACAAACACTGACGGATGTAGGAGTGGACTTACCTAATTTTAACCCACCCAAAAATAAATAAATAAATTGTTACTACTATTAATTCACCTAAAGAAATATTAGCCAAATTTCTCTATTGGCATTTACGTACAAGCTCAAGAAACCAATGTGTGTGTCAGCGTGTGTGTGTGTGAATGACAGCAACTAATGCTATCACGAGTCTTGTGCGGCATTATTGACACGCACCTAAGTGGAGAAGCACCATCCCATAAAAGCTATCAAGCTTTTGGCACGGCACAAACGCAGAGACTCCTAAATTCAACGTGCAAATCACCTAACCTCTGCTAGTGGAAGTGTCAAACACGTCCTCACAAACAATATATATATATACATATATATATGCTTTTGTGCACTGGTCCATTACTCAATAGTTGCGGCCCAAAGAAAAAGAAAAAGAAAATAAAATAAAACAATTGCACAAGCCATAGAAAATTCAATAAATTGCAGCCCTCTCCATAGTCATAGTCCTAAAATTCAATGTGCGAAAGACCTAACCTCCACCCGGGGAATAAATATTATTTTATTAACTATAAATGTTCTCAATTTTTTCTTTAATAATAAAAAAGAAAAAATAATTCCCAACTAAACTTTAATATAGTTATTATTTTTATTAAATATATAATTAAAAAATGAAATAAAATTACTTATTCATTATATGTATATAATATGCATTTAATTTTTTAAATTTCAAAATTTGCAATAAATTTTGACAAATATATATATATATATATATAACAAAGGGGTGTATTCAATCCTTATTTAAAAAAAAAAAAATTAGGGGTGTTGGTGTCATTTTCTTTTTTTTTTTTTTGTTTGTCACAATGTCTCGAAAGTTGCCCTCCTTCCAATGTTATAGTCTTACAAATTAAGCATGCCCTCCTTCCAATGTCACAATGTCTCGAAACTTTAAACTAACTATGTTTTCTTTTTCTTTTCATTTTTTATCTTTTTTTCTCAAAAGTTTAAATTAACATAGCTTTTTCTTAACTCATGAGACAACACAATATAAATAAATCCTAAATGGTCAACTAAATTTATAGTCAACAGCCATGAAATGCTGCAACCTCTCTTTCCAATGTTTCCATCATTCTGGTGCAAAATTACCGGAATGATTTGTGTGTGAATTATGTTCATAAATATTACATTTTCATGGATTATAGATTTTATATTGTTTTAGTTTGTCTAATTGTCGTTTTTTCTACATAATTTTACACATCAAAAATTTAGTATTAGATTTCAGGGAAAAAAAAAACCTTAAGTTTTGAACATCACTTTACCAATAAACGTGCAATATATCAACCATATATTAAACAATTGCACTGATATTGTATTTTTATCTCATTTTATACTAAGATATATAGCAATTCATGAATGTTAGGGAGGTAGCGTTGAGTCGCAACTCAAATTCAAAAAGTATAAAACTTTTATCAACTATTTAACTCGGTTAACCCACATTTAAAATTTTAATCTGAACTCGAATTAGATTAGTTGGGTAAATATTAAATTAATTTTGATTCAAGATCGAGTTAGATTATTCCTATCATAAAAATTCTATAAATTGAATATATGAATAGAGAATATTATGCACAAATTTTAAAATAAATTCTCCACAAATTAATTTACAATTATTAATATTTTAAAAAAATAGAAAAAAAGGTCGATTATGATTACAAACATTTAATATATATGAACTTCCTACTCATTTACTCAGTGAGTAAACAAGTATTGTCTTTAAAAATAAATAAAAATTAACTAACAAGGAGAGTGCGACAACACCTCCACTTTTAAACATAATAAGTCTTATTTATAGAGAAGTAGTGCTAGGACACCTTCTCTTTTAAGAGAGGCATTGTGAGGACGAGAAATTAATAAGTGATATTGGTTTTAGTTTTTCACTTTAATCAAAATTAAGGTTTAATAAGAAGTTCTATAGTTTAAAAAAAAAAAGCTAACTAATAGTAACCTTATAAAGAGCATCTTTAATGACTTTTAAATAAGCTCTCAAACTCAAAAAATAAATAGATGAAAATAAGGTAATCCAATAGATTCTCAAAAGACCTCTCATATTTTGAGATTCTCAAATGTATCCTCAAATATAGTAACTCTCAAATGACCTCTCAAACTCAAAATATAAGAAGCGAACTTCAATGGATTTTCTCAAAAGACCTCTCATATTTTGAGATTATCAAAAGTTGCTAAAATGATAATGAAACACTCTAATGAGTTCTCAAAACGTGGAATGATTATTGTGTCAAAACTAATAGTATTTTAGATAAAATACATAAGCAGAATTGCAAAAATATAGCATTTTGACAATGTAGCTCTTCTCAATATATAGATTTGGCATGGAAATAAAACATTTTGCATTGGAGATACTCTTAAATCCTACTAATCAAATAAATAAGTATTAGAAAGAATAATTATTAGTTGATGTGGAATAGTATGTTATTTGGAAATATATTTAATTGTTTTTTAATATAATAATACAATATTTGGCGCAATAATATATATTATAAATATAATATAATATATAGGAGAATTATCATATTTACACTAAATCACTTTTTTGAGCTCTCCAATTAGAATATATAAGGTCTATCAACTCAACAAGTAAATAAGAATATATAAGGTCTATCAACTCAACAAGTAACTACAGTTAAAAGTTTTTGTGAGTTATTGAAAGATCCGAAACCTACTTCAATTTTGAGGTGAGATGAGATATATATTGTTGATTCGAAAATAACCTAAATTTGGATTATACTATTATATATTTTTTATTTAGTTACCTCCAATATTTCAAAAAATTTAATCTAATCATATTTTTTTTTGATCAAATTCTTTCTTCAACTCAAATAATAGACATTCAATCCATTATGAATACAATATAATACTAAATGGTCAACTAAATTTATAATCAATAGACATGAAATGCGACCTCTCCGTTGTGGTGCAAAATTAATATGTATGATTTGTGTGTGAAGTCTTGACATCTAATTCATAAATAATTCATTTTGATATATCATTGATTTCATATTGTTCCCACTTCATCTGATTGACGTTCTTTTTAAAATTACTTACATTCTTGCTTCCACATCAACAAATAAGGAGTAGATTTACAAGGGAATATTTTACCTATAATAACTAGATAATCTTACTTGGCAGAGAGAAAAAAAAAAAAGAAAAAAAGTTTTGAACATCACTTTACCAATAAATAATTTCACGAGATTGCAATTTTATCTCATTTCATATAAAGATAGGATATCACTTTACCAATAAATAATTTCACGGCAATGCAATTTTATCTCATTTCATATAAAGATAGGATGGAAACAGATGCATGTTGGGTTGGTAACATTGGGTCCCACTCAAATTCAACTTAAGGCCTAAAACTTTTTAAAGTAAAGTATAGCAACGTCATTGGCTGTTTTTGAGACAATGACAAGAAATTTCATCCAAAAAAAACCTTAAATCATATAAAAAGACAAAATTACCCCTTAATATTAAATCCAGATTTATTGCAAAATATTAGACCTGTCAAAATAACGCAATTTTCCCTGAAAGTTTAGGGCCACAAATTAACTCCACTTGGCGCCAAATTAACAACCCGTGAATTGCAAAATATCAAATTTGTTTTTTTTTCACCAAAATTTTGTTCCTATTTTATTTAGTATATTATCTATTAATTTACAAAAAAAAATATGGTTTTTTTTTTAAAACAAAAATTTAGTTTCTTGTGTTCTTTACCAAAATGGGATTTTCTTTAAAAATATATTGTAAAGAAAATATTGGGTTTTCTTTATGTGGTTTTCTAAATATGGGGTTTTCTTTATTTTCTTTACAAGAAAATTTTGTTTCTATTTTCTTTATTAATATTTGGTTTTCTTTTTTTCTTTTTCTTTTTTTTTACCAAAATTTTGTTATTTAGAAAAATTGTTGCAGAATAAAATTATTATTATTTTTTTAAACAAATGGGGTTATCAATTTTGTTATTACCATAAAAACAGAATGGAAAATAACTAAATAACTAAAATAGCAAATCCAGTGGGGGCTACGCAGCGAAGTAACACTCAGTAACATTAATTAGCTCTTGAAAGACATCGTTAAGAGGTTAGATAACCTGTCCATAATCTCTCACAAATTTTTTAAGGCAAAATTGAACAACATTGACAGATATAAGTAGCATCATAGACACCATTTTAGTTTGGTCAAACTTTTTTCTTTTTGTAAGAAATTGAAAA